TTCAGGATGTATCAATTTGTTTGTGGAATAATGGTTATTCGAATGCTGCACACATGCTTCCAGGAAATGGAAAGTATCAAATTGTGGACCTGAAATCATCTGCCTTTTTAAAATGTAAAACTCAATATGAAACTGCCTACTCGTGCTTGAAGCTCAGCTCTAAGAGTGCTCAAGTATTCTTGAGTGCACCATCATTGCCAGGTCTTGATATTTCATCAATGGTCATGAGTCGACCACCGATGGTTATCATGCCAGGTGGGGCCAAATTTAATAGCACAAGTTTGGAATATGAATATCCATCAAGTCCAACTCCAGTGGTTAGCAGTAGCAGTATTTCACCTGCCAAATCAAAAGCCAATAACAATTCTAATATGGTAGTTTTGAGCCAATTAGTGGTTGTGTTGGTGGTTTTGGTTTTGAATTTACTTGTTTAATTTCAACTTCTTTATTGGGTTTTTTAAAAAATACAATTATTATCCTTAATGTGTATTTTCTGAATTAATTCCACTTTTGAAAGAATGTCGAATGATTTGACAATTTAAATTTTTATTATTAAGGAATGATAATTGTATCATTCTTTTCATGAATCAAGTTTGATCATTCTTTCTTTCATAGAATCATCAAAATCTTGAGTACTCTATTTACACTGTATTCTGTAGGTGGTGATATCCATGAGAATACTCACCATTCCATTAAGGTCCTTTGAGAGAGAGAATTAAATTAGTTATGATATCACACCAATTTCACCTCACACAACTAGTCATTCAATATAGGACTTGTTATTCACAGCAGCTGCAGTTGGTGGACATGTCTTACTTCTCTGCACTGTACTAATTTCAGTGCGTGAAGAATGAACACCAACCAAACGTCCACACGACTTTAATTGAGGTAAAGCCTTTGGAGAGGGCATGTAATCGGATGCTAAATAACCAGGAATGTAGGGAAGAGGTGATATTGACTTTTGTCTTGCAGCATCATGATTATTCTTCAATAGCATTGGAAAGCAAATCTTGTTATCAGCAAATGGATCACCATCATTATACAATTGAGAGTAGAGAATATTTTGATGGGGATGATAGTTTGAAAATTGCTTCGAGTCTTGTTTGAGACTATCATTGAGTGGATCACGAGGTGAATTTATAAAATCCTTACTAGTGAGTTTGGAAGTCTTTTTAACCTTCTTTTGTTTTTTACCTTCAATGAGGCTTTGTTTCATCATGTTATGAAGTTTTTCTAATTGTTCCTCAGTGAGTGATTGTTTAACCGATGCTTTGGCATGAGTGAGAGCTGTATTACTCCCCATCTTTGATCTATTTTGAAAAAGAGAGTCAAATAATTGATAGTATTACTATTAAGTTTCAACAAGAATAAGTGGTCTTACACCTTAATAAACTTGCGGTGTAGTAGTTTGTTGTTGTTTTTAAAAGAAGAATTTTTATCAAATGATGACGACGAGTGGTTCTTTCTGGTGAGAAGTGACTATGTGAATGTCCTTGTTGAGCAGTTTTTTTTATGATGTTACGGTTTGGTTTTCGAACACTTGTGTTTTTCATTCTCCAAATAAGGTCAATTAAGGGTCACTTTTTATATTTGATTGTACAGAGACCTTTTTGGTTTTTTTATCGCG